AAGTGACTCATCATCTTTCAATAAGAGGGACCTGTGCACATGTGCACAAGACACACACACACACACACACACACACACACACACACACACACACACATGCATGAATGGTAGAGTAACACTATGAAGAAGTAGTTCATAATTTCACAGATTCATTATACGTATTAACTGGTTTGATCCTGACCAAGATTTTGCAGGTAGATTATCTTTCTACTTCATCAAAAATGATGGTAGCTGGGTGCTGGTGGCTCACACCTGTAATCCTAGCTACTTGGACCCTAGTTCAAACCCAGTCCCATCTTCCCCCTGCCCCACAAAAAAAATGATGACTTCCACCTAGGTCACACTCCTGAGGGAGGACAGCCAAAAAGAATTTGAGGGATTGTGAATTCTAAAAGCATTCTCTAAACCTCCTCTCCCAACAGAGCTGTCTTCTACTTGTCTCTAAATGAAGATTTAAGCCTCTGCACAGCTGCTGAAGGCTGTGTTTCCACAGATACCCAAGCCCCACTCTCTGGAGCCTTTGTCATTTTCTGACTTAACAAAACAAGGCAGGAACAACGAGTCTTTATATGGAAACATCTGTTTGTACTGGTCTATCAGCTTGTGTCTATTGTGGAAACTCTTAAGGCCAAATTTGAATTAAATGAGTAAGAGACTACACATCATTTTTTTAAAAGACATTATATTTTATTATACAATATAAGGTCATTTTAATAATAAGCCCTAAATGTTGTGTTAGTGAAATACAAGTATAGACCCTCTCTCTCCAGAGTATATTCCGCTTAGTTTCCGTAGCTTTATAAAATAATACTTCATTTGACTGGCATACTATGAAACTGGTTATAATTCTAATAAAATATGAATACTGTGATTCCCCAAAATTAAAATAATTAATGGATTATATATATATGTAGCCACACACACATCTTTATATATGCACTCAAACATTTGAATGTATGTATTTATTTTCATGCTGGGGATGAAACCCAGGGCCTCATTCATACTAGGCAAGCACTCCACCACTAAGCTTTATCCTAGCCCTAAATAGTTTTTAAAATATTAAATATTAAAATTTTAATCATCTGTAAAAACATTTGACTTTTTATTCTGATCTCTGAGTAGTAAACAATGTTTCTATCATTAACAAGATTTCATCTGCTGTGTCCATAGATTATGAGGTTATTACTCTTAAAATTTCTTAAATAGAAACAATCTGTTTTAATTCTATTAAGCAAAAATAAAGCAATAAATCCTTGTGCTATGTGATGCTGAAATTACATTAAACAAAAGTATATTTTCCAGAGTTGACATTTTAAAATAAATGAGGGAAAAATATTATTTGTTATACAAAGATAATCAAACAACTCTGTTTTGATAGATTCCTTGGAAAGATATTTATTGTGCTGCTTGTGCTGAAATTAAAAAAAAAATCTTGTCTGCTGCAGGCAAGATTTTAAAATTCTTTGAATGTTAATGTTGGAAGCAAAATGTTCCTTGGTGAGTGGGTCAGCTGAATGTCTTGGAGATTAAACTCAAATTAGAACCTAAGTAGAGGTCTAGAGTCTGGTGGCTGAACTCAGTCTGCTGAGTGAACCACCTGGACCAGCCTTCACTCATGGAAAGCTCACCTCCAGGGATTGCTAGCTAGCTCACTTGCTGTGTGCTCCATCTCCACAGCTAGGTTTTACTAAACAAATTTTATAGATAAGAAAGTTGAAGCTTGCAGCAGAATAGCAACACAGGACCATGGAGTTGAAAGAGCTGGCGCTGGGCTATGCATAGGTGTTCCTAACTCCCCCTTGAGATGTGGAGGGCTGAATATTTCACTTGAAGTTGGTAAGGCAACTGTTAACTCTTAAAAAAATGGTGTCGATGGAGGGAAAGATAAGACTTAGTTGAGCAAGAAAGAGTAAAATGATGTAAGTATGCTGGAGTTGGCGTCACTAACCATAAAGGAACTTTTGCCAAGTCTGACAGACACACTGGCAATGAAATTGATCACATTCACTTAAGACACTTTCTATTTTTTAGATTTTCCATTTATTTACAGCAAGAGGAGTCCACAGGTGGTCCAAGACCATGCAGACTATTTGTTCAATTTGTTCTGTTTGTTGCCTGGCACATTCTTTAACAAAACAAAACAATTAGGCAGGTGACATTCTAGGGTCTTGTTGAACTGGCCTCTCCCTGTTTTGGTTAACTGCATGCTTCAGGAAAAAGCCATTGTTCTACAAGAGGGGATCAGAAAGTATAAAACTTACACATCCCATTACTATTAAATGAGTCTTTTACATTCTCTGTTATGTAGCGTTGTATAGCCAAATTTAAAAACTCTGATTTAAGTGTTTATTTATTAGTGACCTCATGAACCTCTCCTCTCTGCCCTCCCATGCACTTTCTTTTTCTTATAAAATCCACACACGATGTTAGGAAATCCTAGCAAAGGGGTCTGAAAAGTTACACAGCAGAAAAGCTGTGTCAACAACAGACTGGTTAGAAATACCTTTTTTTTTCCCCTATGATTTACTTCCCTGTGAATGGTCATAATTTTGACCTTATTTATTGTACTAGTCATCGGCTAGTCATCTAAAATAAATTTCTACATGCAGGAGAATCAATCCTTTCCTTCTTCCTATGTGTCATAGTTTTTGATTGTTTTAGGCTTTTTGGGTTTTTTTTTTCGGTTTGAACTCAGAGCCTACAGCTTGAGCCACTTCACCAGCCCCGACCTTTTGTGATGGGTATTTTCAAGATAGGGTCTCACAGACCTGTTTGCCTGGGCTGGCTTTGAACCATGGTCCTTCCTGATCTCTGCCTCCTGAGTGGCTAGGATTACAGAAATGAGCCACTAGCACCCATCTAGTTTTGATTTGTTATTAACATGTATGAATTAGACATATTACTGGGGTCCAGTGTGATGTTTCCACACATGTGTGCTGTTCAAATCCATCCCCTCCCCATCTGAAAGCAAGACAGAAAGTATTTAAAACAACCTTTTTTGCACTCTCTCTGGTCCTCGGCACGGTTGGGACCATGTGACTGGGTGAAAGCTGTCCCCCTTGCCCTGGGCACATATGGCACCCTCCTCCTTCTCCTCCTCTCCTCTCCCTTCTCTTCCCCTTCCCCTCCCTCTCCCCTAGACTCAGGAATCAGAGCCCAGCCGTCTCTGTGGTTCCTTCCCTTAAGGCCTAGCCTAGAAACCACAGGCTCAGGAAGGGAAGACTAGAGGGGAGGGCTGTGCCCAGGTTTGGCATAGGATTGCATCTGGGGCTTTTATTTCTGTTGCAGCCTCCATCCCAGGTTCTCAGGCTGAATCCACTCCACACACAACGCCACTGCAGGCCCAGCTCCACCTAAGGACATATACTCCCAGTGTTCAGTTTCGGGGGTGCCACATGTGCCCAGGGCCCCTCCCACTTCCCTCCCTCTCCCCACTATCTTCCCCATCCCCTCCCCCTTCCCTCCCTCTGTCCCCCCATGGAGACCAAAGAATAGCTCATTTAATAGATTTAATAGATTTAAGATGACAGTATATGGTTAATGGACTTCATATATCTATATAAAACACAACTTAAAATGAAGAGGAAGATAGCTTTGAAACAGGGTTGTAAAACATGGTAAACTGTCAATTAAAAGCTGTAACCTCAGACAGAGCTGTGAGGAATTGCCCATTAGAGCCATGCAAAAGTTCAGGACCAAGATGAAAGGCACCATGCAGAGGTGTAATACCCATTCCTGCCTTTCTTTGTCTCCACTTGTAAATAAACTTTCCAGAGCAGGTCTCCCCTGCTGTTCTTATCTAAATAACACTAGGTCCCTAGCTCGCTACCAGCCCAATTAACCTAAACAATCGAACTCACTGGTTAGGACACCATGACCTGAGCACGTCTTTGTAACCTGATGCCCTACACTACCTTTTAAATATCTTGTGAATCCTTTGTTCGGGCTCAGACACAGGTACACGTCTGGGCCTGCTGGCTTAAAATTAAAATCTGAGTTCTCCACTCCTCTGAGTGTCGCTTGGTTTCTCCTCTGACTATATTGCCACAACAAAAAAATCCTCCTGTAATTGCTTTAAGTGGGGTAGGGAGGGGGCTAATGGGGAGAGACGATGGGGACAATGTACGTAATGTACAGTATAAGTCTAATTGTACATTAGAGATCTAATTGTACATTGTGCCCACCTCCAAAAATTGTAAATAATGTGCAGTATAAGTCTAATTGGAATTGCCACTATGAATCCCCCTCCCCGTATAATAAAAATTTATTTAAAAAAAGATGTAGGAAATGTACTTTTTCTCTTAAGTATCATAAAGGTACATAATCTACTCTGGTAAATTATTTAACTGGGAGACTCTAAAGAAAATTATGACAATTAAAAACCACTTTGACCATTTGAGCACCTGTGGCTCACATGATTCTAGCTACTTGGGAGGTTGCGATTAGGAGGATCAAGGTTGGAGGTCAGCCCAGGCAAAGAATTGGCAAGAACCTATCATTTAACCAGAGTAAAATGGACTGGAGGTGTGGCTTAAGTAGTAGAGCACCTACTTTTGCAAGTTCAAAGCCCTGAGTTCAAACCTCAGTCCTAGTCAAAAGAAAAAGCACTTTGACCATTATGCTATTTTAAGTTTGTTTAGAAGGAAATTCCCAATAATAAAGTTAAACATGCTATAAGCTATGCAAGTGAGTTTGTCACTAATCATTTGATCCTAAATAGCCAAATCTTTATCTTTTGGAAATAATAATTCAAAGTGCTGAATCCAAGTTGTCAGCTTTTAGAAAACACGTAAGTCTGAGATCCAGATAAAAGGGTTGAATGAGACACTGAGTCCAGGCTAGCAGTGCCTTAATCATGACCTGTCATTGCCAGGCCGAGGCTGTCACCATGCAGTTTTGGCTGTGGTGACGTGGACAGTGAACACACTGTGGACTTGAGAGGTGACCATGTGAATGTGACCTTCTGCAGGTCCACTGACCCCTCTTTCCATTCTCCCCAGGTACTCCCAGGAAACACCAATGCAGACAGCGTGGTACACACCAGGCTCCAGCCCCCCTTCCAGGCCAGGTTCCTGCGCTTCCTCCCCTTGTCCTGGAACCCCAAGGGCAGGATCGGGATGCGGATAGAAGTGTATGGATGTGCATATGGTGAGTGTCAACTGAACTTGACCTTTGCTGATGTTTTGAAGAACAGTGTGGGCAAAACCGATTTGGGGGGAAAGCCTTTTGCTGTTGTCTCCCACAACAACGTGGCCTGTAATTACTCTCTTTTATAGTTGAATTTGGAGGTAGATGAACATGAACCAAAACTTTTTTATTTTTATATTTGCAGAGTTTAAGAAAGGACTTGCAATCTAATTTCTCTATTTTTTGGCATTGTCCAAATTTGAACTCAGGACCTTGTGCTTGCTTCACAGGTACTCTATCACTTGAGCTATACCTCCCGTGCCCTGTCATCTTTATTTTTCATATAAGATCTCTCTTTCTCTTTTTGTCTAGGGACAACCTTTGACTGGAATCCTCCTACTTAGGCCTCCCGCATAGTTGGAATTCAGTTGTGTATCACCAAGTCCAGCTTTTTTGTTGAGATAGGGTCTTCACTAACTTTTTCCCTGGGCTAGATTTGAACTGTGACCTTCCTGATCTCTGCCTCCTGAGTAACTGAGATTATAGGTGTGCACCAACATAAATAGCTGCTTGTCTTCATTGCTATGAAGCCTTCTTTTGTATCACTTGATCTTTATTTGGTGGAATACATGCTTATCTATTAAGCCAGTTCCCTTTCTCATCTATTAGCTGTAATCACAATAACAAGAATGGAGCCCACATGAAAATAACATAAACATAAATAGTTGGCAATGACATCGTATGGCAGGACCCTACTGTAAGCTGTCATTGGAGGATCCAGGATGGACTTGCACTGTTTCTTTGCATAATCATCAGTATGTTTTAAATTACCATCAAAATAGAACAAAATTTAAAATATTCCCGTGAAGAATGGGAGAATGATCCAAGGAATGACTGGATGGAAACGTGTCATGTGTTTTGGCCTTGGGTCAAATTGGATGTTCCTGTGGCGCCATTTGCACACATTTGGCCCATTCTTTGCTAATTGTACATTTAACCTTACAGAATGGTAATTTTCTAATGTATCATAATCACTATCTATGAGGATTCGTGTCTGCTCTTAATGTTATTATACTTCATACTCAACCTCTGTGCCACCAATTAATTTCCTGACTGCGCCTCTGTTTCCAGTGCGGATGTTTGCATGGGTGTTAAGTGCAGTGGGGTTGTTTTCCTAGCAGCCCTTCCCAGGCTTCTGTTGGCATCTCCTTTCATGACTGTGTTCTCTGCTGTGTCCACTCTTACCTTGGCTGTGATGTGTGATGTTCAGAATTTCCCTTTGATGCTATGAAATTAGCTTGCCCTCCCATTACTCTGAAACAACTTCAGGTTTACTGACTTCAAAGCAGAACAAGCTCTTTGATGGGGGATTTGCCATTAGCTCCATGTGCCTTCCCAAGGAGATATTTCTCCAGCTCCTTGAGCTAGAGGTCAATACTGGAAGGATCAAAGCCCTGTTCCTGACCCAGCTAGGGTCGGTGGTGTACAGTGTCATGGAGTTCTGCAAGTTCAACTACTGTAAGAAATGCCCACGGTAATGTATCACACTATTAACTAGTATGTCATCACTATTAACTAGTACATCTCGCTATTAACTAACTCAAATTCTATTCTTTAGAATGAATAGATCTATCTCTACATTGTCTTTTTTTCCTCAGAAGAATTATTCAAATATATGAATTTTATTTATATTGTTGACAATAATGCAAGACTATAGTTTTAAGGGTGGTATTTTTAGCATTTCATTTGTATTTTCAGTGCCTTCCTTCCCTCCCTCCCTCTCTTCTCCTCTTCCCTCCCTTCCCCGCTCCTCCCCTTTTCTCCCCTCCTTTCCCCTCTCTCTCTTTTCCTAGTACTGGGATTTGAATTCAGTGTTTTGTGATTGCTAAGCAGGCACTCTACCACTTGAGCCACACCTTGATTCCTTTTTTGCTTTATTTATTTATTTTTTGGATAAGGGCTCACTCTTTTTGCCCAGGGCGAGCCTCAGACCATGAGAGTAGCTGAGGTAACAGATGTGTGGCACTACACCCAGCTTGTTTGTTGAGATGGGGTCTGGCTAATTTTTGCCAAGGCTGGACTTGAACCTGGATCCTCCTGATCTCTACCTCCTGAATAGCCAAGATTACAGATGTGAGCCACCATGCCTGGCCCTCCACTGCCTTGTTTTATTCTTATGATGTTACTTAAAGGCCGCATCTTCTTCCAGTTTCATTTTATCTACTATCTTAGTTCCTTTTTTACTAATATACTCACTGTCTTGTTAAACATTGTGGGTTCCCATGAATTCCTGGCTTAGCATAAGCAGTTTCTGTACTTCCATTTTTGAATTGGGGGTTATGATACAGGTGGGTGCCAGGGTCGTTGCTCACCTGCATAAGAAAGTCAGGGCAGAGATGGCCAGAAGACCCTTCTCAACTCCCGTGTATTCTGGTTTCCAGGCATGTTTACATGTGTCATTTGTGCCATCCCCTACAGGTGAACAGTCATCTGCATCTTTGTGCTGGGCCTTTATTCTGCTGCCATCTGTCTCTGCATTTCCTGTCCATGTTCTCAAGGTTTTAATGGCACTTACTACATTACATTATTACATTATTATTTTAATGGCACTCTGGCCAGTAGCTGGCAAAGCTTTGCTCTCAACTGCCCCTCTCAGGACCAGAAAAGAGGAGTGCACAGGTTCTTATGCCAGGAGTCTGCGTCCTGACACCTGTCTCTCTTGCCCTCCTTGTCCAGTGAATGACCAAATTCTGCAAACTCCATCTGCAAATTACACTTTGCACTCTTTCAGTGCTCTTGAGATTCCTCTCCTCACCAACTCAACCCAAGCCCAGTGTCACCCACATTCCTTCTGAAGTTGATTTCTTATTTTAGTTCATCCCTTGTCCACTCACAGCCAAGGACACAATAGTCTCCACTAACAACAGAGACTGGTGCAGATACGATGCAGTCAGGTTCCCATCCTAAACCTTTGGTGGCTTTCCATTGCTTCCCAAATAACATCAAGATTCCTAGCACAGCCTGAATAGCCTTACCCCTGGACGAGGGGCACCCCACCTGCTACCACCTGCTACCTGTCCACTGTTGGTTGTGCTCATGTCATTACTGACTCAGGTTTCATTCTTGTGTTTCCCCCACTTGAATGCTCCTTCCTATTTTTCTGGTTTTTTTCTTGATAATTCCAATAAGGCTTTTATTGTACGTAAGTCACATCACCCACTTCAACTCCCTCCCTGCCCCACTTAAAGCAATTTTGAGATGTTTCTTTGTTTCATATAGGTGTATGAAGTCTTTCTGCCATATACCATCACCTTAATCTCCTTCCTTCCCCTTCCCCTCTCCTTCTAATAACCCTCAATACTGTACCTATTTTACAGTCCTGGTTTTCATTATTAATATTTAAGTTGATGTTCACAGGGGTGTCCCAATGTGTGCACACTGTGGGTATATTTTACTTTGGTTTGTTCAACGCCTTCCATTACTCTCCCTTAGCCCTTCATCTCCCACTCCCCGTTTTTCAATAGCTTTCAGTATACACCCTTACATCCTCTACCTTCACATCTTACATTAAGTGATATTACTGGTGTTCTGTCATTCTCTTTTCCTTTCCTCTTTCCCTGAGCTCCATAGAGTAGTTCTACTATGACAAACATGTTCTACATCTGAGTCTGTAGATGATCACAATCGGTTTTGTGTGTATGTTTATCTTTTGGATTTATCCTCCACGTATGAGAGAAAACATGCATCTTTTGTGTTCCTGAGCCTGGCTAACTTCACTTAACACGATGTCCTCAAATTATATCCATTTACTTTCCAACCATATTCATTCTGGCTGAATAAAACTCCTGCATTTATGTACCACATTTTCTTAATGCATTCATCATTTGTAGGGCACCTGGGCTGTTTCCACAGTTGGCTATTGTGAATAGATAGTGCTGTGATGAACATGGGTGAACAGGAGTCTCTCATTCCCACTTTTCAGCTGCTCTCCCTCCTTATTCTTTAGGTCTTTGTGCAAGTGACACTTCCCAGGCCCTTCCCCTCTTCCAGTCTAAGGTGATTGCTCATTATAACTTCTCCTAGAAATCTGTTATTTGCTTCAAGTGTTTTAGTCATGTTTTATAAACATTTCTTTCTTTCTTTCTTTCTTTCTTTTTTGGTAGTTCTAGGGTTTGAACTCAAGACTTCATGCTTGCTAGGCATGTTTTATAAATGTTTCTACACCTGTCTTGTTATTCACCTGATTTCTTTCTTCCTCATCAAGGCCCAGGGTACAAGGTCAAGATCTGTTGACTGCACTGCATACATAGAGAGTCAGGAACTTACTGCACATGTGCAGTAGTCTTTGTTCAATGAATGGATGAATGAATAAAAGAATGAATGAGCAATTTGGAAAGGAAATACAACAGATGGTAATGAAAGCCCAATAAAGATTCTAAGTTTCAGATATTTATTTCACTATTATATTAACAATTCAGGTAAGCCAGGTATTTTTAAAGATTAATTTACAATTAATTTTGTTATTGAAAAACAGTAACAACTCCAGTAATAATAGCTAATCTATGACCTTTCAGTTTCATTCCTTGCTTTCATGTGATATTTGATGCATTTTTGTGTAGTTGTAAAAGCCATTATTAATATCCAAATATTCCAAATGAGCGATATGATCTGTGGAACCAAAGCTATCCCAATCTATCATCACATTAAAAGTAATTAACATCATTACTCACTAGAGAAGCATGTATAAAACCATAATGGTAAACCACCACACATGTATCAAAATGGCTAAAATAGTAAGGAAAAAACACGAGATATTTGCTAAGGATTTGAACCTCACATAGTTTTTGAGACTGTGAAAATGAGACGCCACTTTGGAAAACAACTTGACATTCCTCTAAGTTAAACATACATTTTCTGTATGACCCAGCAATTCCAATCCCACAGCTTTACTCAGAACGAGTGTTTATGTCTAACTAAGATGTGTGTGTGTGTGTGTGTGTGTGTGTGTGTGTGTTTGTGTG